TACTTTTTTCCCAAAGAGCTTTTTTGACACTTTAAACCCCAGTGGAAGTATCATGAATCGCCTCAGTAAAGTTTTAGACATCCTTGACAGTTTCTGCCCGTGCTCATTAAAACATGGATTTTTACTCTTAATTTTAGGTAAGATAGGGAATTTTTGTCACCCAAATTACATCTCAGGCTTTTAAATTTTTTGTGCAATTGTTGGAATTCTTCCTTTCCCCCCTTTTTTCATAAAGCATGTTTTCTAAACCCCTTTCATTTATAACCAACTTTATCTTTATTTTGTGGTCTTTGATTTCAAGAAAAAGTTTTAATTTGATGGAGGGGAACCCAAATTTACGCTAACCCCCAAATGTGGGATAAACCTGGGCAGCTTTTTACTCACTGATAATGGTTCAAAGGGACAAATACAAATAAAAGTTTTATTTCTTTTAAAAAGGGCTGAAACTTTTTCTAGGTTTTCTCTCCAGTTTGTTGGGTTTTTGGATTTTTTTTTGTTTACTGATTCTTTATCTCACAGGTTATCACCCAAAATTTTATCGTGATTTTTGGCCCCCAACACCGTTTATTGTGGTTTGGTTCTTCCCGTCAGGTGCCTTTCTTTTTTATCCCGATTGTCTAATTTCCAACCCCTAGACAACTCAAGGGGATAGAATCTGTTTCTAAATCCCCCTTTTACTCCCCATTTTGGAGAGTGTGTTCAAAGGAAAAACCTATGGTTATCAACAACTAAAGCAAAGGGGGTATATTTATGGTTAAAGGACTTCAATGAAATTTTTTTTTACATTTAACATATGCGCAGCTATATTTAAATTTTTTTTTTTATAAGAAATGCAATTTTATGTAACTTTTTTGGTTAAAAAAAAGTTTTAAAGTGTTGCCTTTATGTTTTCTTTAAATGTTTAAAGAATTTTAAATTTAGGTGTCCCATTTTTCGGGCATTTAAAAAAGGACAATTTTATTAGCAGCCCCACAAAAAAATTTTATTAATTTTTTCCCAAACTTTTTTAGCCAATTTTTTTTGGTTTTTTAAAAAAGGTCATTTTCAAATTTTTAAAAATAATTAAAATCTAAATTCTTGCATAAATTCTCATTTTATTTTGCCTGATTTTTAGTTTTAACAATTTGGGTTTAGCTTTCTCACCCCAATTGCAAAAAGTAGCTAAAAAGATCTAATTCATAAATGGGTTTTTAATGTTTTTCCCCACCAAATTGTTATACTCTGGTGATTTTTAGTAGATAATACACTTTAAAAATCAAAGCTATTTCCCTGCCCCCGTTTAGAATTAAAATTTTTCCCTGGGTGAGGATTTTTTTTAAAAATTTAATTTTATTGAATCATTTTTTTAATGCACATTTAAAACAATTCTTTCTTTCAAAAAACCAACCCCTTTTCCCATTGAGGGGGGTGGCCCAAAAAAAAAATGAAGTTTCTCCTTTTACATTTTGCAATTTTATACAGGGGGAAGGGGTTATAGCCCTTGCTTTTGGCATTTTTTGCTTGCTCTTACAAAATGCATTTACCCTTTTGAAGAAAGAATTTTGTTCCACTTCCCCAGGGGGGTAAGAGGAAAAAAACAAAAACAAAAACTAGTAAGAAAATAGAAGAAAACCCAGAGGGGTGTGTGTGTGTATATATATGCTTGTACATGTATGTGTAGTGTGACCTAAGTGTAAGTAGAAGTTGACAAGACGTACCTGAAACCTTGCATGTTTGAGACAGAAAAATGGACACCAGCAATCCTACCATCATGTAAAACAATTACAGGCTTTCGTTTTACACTCACTTGGCAGGACAGTAGTACCTCCCTGGGCGGTTGCTGTCTATCAACCTACTACCTAAAACTTGTATACACACACTAATAATAATAAAATGATTATCCCATTGTGTGCTTCTTATTTTAAGGTAGGGTGACCCAAAGGAGGAAGCCTCTTGTATTCCAATTTTTTAACCAGATAATGTTTAGTCTCAAAACATGAAAAATCATTTTAAAGTTGCTATTTACCTTGATTTACTTTTTGTGCTATATTTGTCTATTGCAAGTGTTTAGTCATTGTTATATAACTCACTGTTCTTTAACTGGTCACATGTGATGCTAGTTTTCTCCCTCTTTAATCTTTTCACTGTCCAGACTCCCAAAATTAATATTGTTTTCAGTGTCCACTTATGAAAAAAATTCTTTTGAAATGGTAGAGAATCTTTTCTGTAGGTAATGACACCAAAAATATGAAATTTGATGTAAAGTTAGCAGCTTCTGTGTAGTTTACACATTTGCAATTTCACCCACTTTGAGTACTATTTTATGCCAATTCCATTGGTCCATTTGTCTAAATTCTTAGCTATTTTGCTAGTATGCCTTCTGTTCTTTTGATTGAGCACAAGAAACTACCCCATTCAACTATTGCAACTTACCCAATAAAGTGCACAAATTTGGCAGTTTGTCCAATTTTACACAAAATTTAAAAAATACCAATTTAAAAATGAAATCCATAATAAAAAAAAACATTCCTGGCACTAAACCAACATTTCCTCAGTTCATTAATCCTCTCCTATTTTATGATTGCCTCCCAGACATGATTAGTCATGTTTTATAGCATCCCAGTAATTGAAATCTGACCTATTAAAAACTCATAAAACAGACTGGAGGGTGTAGGAAATGCCTTATGCATCCTCAAAATTTGCTGATGACACCAAAATAGGCCGTCCAATTCATTCTATTGAGGACGTTAGTGCACTCCCATTAGTGCACAGAGGGAAAATTCCTAGGTATTCCACCTTGACAGTAGCCTTGAGTTCCGAACATACATACAACAATCACCAAGAAAATCTCCAAGACTGTAGGCATAATATCAGAGATAAAGGTACTATGTTCAACAATCAGCTCTCCTGGCACTGTACCATACACTCATAACCATACACTCATATCTTACATACACTCATATCTTACATACACTCATATCTTACATATGGAATTTGTGCATGGGGATCAACAACATCCAGTCACCTAAAACCCCTCATTACCCAGCAAAAGGCAGCAGTAAGAATGATAATGAATTCCCACTCCCGCCAGCACACTCCACCAATTTTCAAAAGTCTGAATCTGCTCACCATTAAGAACATCCATACTTATTCATGTGCCTACTACATACACAGAACAATACACGCTAATATAAACCTCCACTCAAACTTCTCCCCACCAACTTAAACACGACACATGACCACAACACAAGACACAGATCTCTTTTTGATATACCTCGTGTCCTTATCACACTGTAAAAACTCTATGCACATAAAGGGCCCTAAAATATGGAATTCATTACCAGAAGACATTAAAGTAACCCAGTCTGAAAATCAGTTTAAGACTCTTCTCAAAAGCCATTTAATCACCCTAGACTAAATGCTAAATACTCACCTATGTACTTCCACATCATAACTTCAGCAATCACTTTGAACCTTTTATCCATTGTTGACAGGAATATAATTGAACCATTGTTTTCCACAAAAAGCATTTTAGACTATATGAATATATCCTTTGTCTTATACAAATTTAATTCACTTATAGTTAATAATCTACTGTTCAACTATGGAATAATTACTGTCCTACTGTACAACTATGATAAAATCCTTAGTGTTAAGTAGTCTGTAAGCCAATAATGTTAAGTTGGCCCATAATGCCTAGGCATAATAGAGGCTCTCTTTGCATTGCAACCCACTATTGTAAATATAAAATCTCAATGTACTGTTTGCAAAGACATAAAATAAATAAATAAATAAATAAAATAAATAAATTTGAATAGACTGATGCAGTGGTCGGAGAAGTGGCAGATGCAGTTTAATATAGACAAATGCAAAGTTCTAAATGTTGGACAGGACAATAACCATGCCAGTTATAAACTGAATAGTGTAGATCTTAATACTACTGATTGCAAAAAAGGATTTAGGAGTTCTGGTTAGTAGTAATCTAAATCCAAGACAACAGTGCATAGTGTTCACAATAAAGCTAACAGAATCCTTGGCTTCATATCAAGAAGTATAAATAATAGAAGTCCTCAGGTTATTCTTCAACATTATATATCCTTGGTTAGGCCTCATTTAGATTAGCTGCACAGTTCTGGTCACCATATTACAGAATGGATATAAATGCACTGGAAAACGTACAGAGGAGGATGACAAAGCTCATCCCATGTATCAGAAATCTTCCCTATGAGAATAGACTGAGGGCCCTGAATCTGTACTCTCTAGAAGAGGGCCCTGAATCTGTACTCTCTAGAAAGGCATAGAATTAGGGGGGATATGATTGAGGTGCATAAATGGAGAACAGGAATAAATAAAGGGGATGTAAATAGCGTGCTGAAAATATCCAGCCAAGACAGAACTCGCAGCAATGCTTTCAAGTTGGAAAAGTTCAGATTCAGGAAGGACATAGGAAAGCACTGGTTTGTTAATAGAGTTGTGGATGAGTGGAACAAACTCCTGAGTGCCATCATAGAAGCTAAGACCTTGTGAAGTTTTAAAAATAGGTTGGATAAATACATGAGTGGGTGTGGGTGGGAGTTGGACCTGACTAGCTTGGGCTACTAGGTCTGGTGCTGTGCTCCTTCCTTAAGTGGAAGTGACCTGACTAGGTGGTCATTGTTCTATGCCAGGGGTGGCATGGACCTGCTTCACATGGGTCAGTAGGCCTGTTGCGGTGTTCCTTCTTTCTTATGTTCTCAAAAATTAAATATTGTGCTACGTTGAACTCAATTTAAGCTATTTCCATTTCTGACACCAACCAAAGTCATCTTTATTTCAGTAGTATATCTTCCATTCTATCAAATGATACCAAGAAACAGCCAATAAAACTTTAAAAACCATCCAAGAAAACACCTCAAATTTGCTATTTTAAACCTTACACAAAGTCAGAGTTGTTTTTCCCATCATGTATCCCTGGGGCATGATTTTTTTTTTATACTATGCACACTTGCCATACAGACCTATTCTCTCATATCGAGGCGAAATTTTACCGCTTATAGCTTATCTAAGTGAGTTGAGCTCATGGTGTAGAACTATGTGAGGGACCCTAGCCTTAGTGACAAAGTTCTCCGGGATGACCACTGAAAGGGTTAAGATTAACTTGCCTCAATACACAGAACACCGTTAGGTAAAGTAAGCTTATTCACTGAAAAAGAACATCATTTACAAACTAATAAAAAAATATTAAACATATGAACATCACTCAAAGAACTCTGAGCCTCCTACCATGATGGATAGCTTACCATCATCATGTGCTGTAACATCCTGGATAAATCATTGTAAATAGATAAGCTGCTTGTTATTGGTGTGTGTTTTTTTTTTTCTTCCAGGCCATTTTTCTGTTTTTTACAGTCATTCAATTCATCATAAACCAGCCCCACTCTCCATGTACTTTTCCTTGTGAGTGGTTGATTATGATTCAAGATGTGAGATGATTGGCTAATTGAGCATCTGCTGTGATAATAGTTATTAATTGTACATTGAATCTGTTCTCTATGGCTTGAACTCACAACCTAAATATGAAGTGTCTAACCTTTTTAATTTATTCACTTCAGATGGTTAGGTGTACGGTTGGAATTTATTGGCAGCATCATCACATTCGCTGCTGCTGTCTTTGCTGTTGCTGGTCGAGGCTCAATCAGTTCAGGCATTGTTGGTTTGTCTGTAAATTATGCTCTTAATGTAAGTAAGAACCGTATAACTATTGATTATTATGTTTATTTGAAGCTGTTTCCAGACATCATGTACAGGTCGGCTATCACTAATCCGGCATCATTGAGACCTGTAGTTTGCCGGATTAGCGAGTTTGCCGGATTATAGAGTGGTTAGGTTAGAATACACTTAATTAACCTATCAGCAGTGGCAGGCAGAGGGGGGGGGGGCAAAGAGGCGATGGCCCCAGGCATCCAAATGGGGAAGGCATCCAATTAAAGAGAGAAATAAAATAGTGATTTGGAGCATTCAATCAAGGAGTCTTTGGGGCATACAATCAAGGAGTTGGCCCTGGCATCACCAGACCTCTTCATGCCACTGCCTATCATAGATATAGACTCTGCTACGTCTTGCTCATTTTCATCACTGCTGTCTCCTACACTGGCTTGCTGCTGTGGATTTACAACCATCTGCACAATTTTCTGAGTCAGTATAATGATATTTGAGTCAGTATAATGATTTGAGTCAGTATAATAATGAAATTTGAAATTATGCTAGCTGTAATCGGTGCTGAATTACTGATGAAACCCAGATGACTGATTGCCGGATTACTACTTGTGGCCGACCTGTAATAGGTTTTGTCAATATTAAGAGTGAATTTGTTGGTAGTCATCCAATTAGTATTTTTAGGAGCTCATCATTAATAGTGTCATTGATAGAAGTTGGATTTCAGTGGGAGACAGCAAAAGTTGTCTACTAATAGAACAGGTTCAGGGAGACAAGATGCATTGGGAAGATCATTGATGTATATGAGGAAGAGCAAAGGACCAAGGATACTGCCCAGAGGCACTCCTATGTTGACATTCAGAGTTGACGAGGTTACGCCATTGATGGAGACATACTCATGTCTGCAGCAAGATGTTGTGATCTGCTGTAACAAAATCTTGTTTAGGTCCATTAGATATTCATTATTTTCTCAGAAGGAATAGATTAGTCCAATCATTTTAATTATAGCATCATTGGTACTCTTACTGAGCCTGAAACCAAACTGGTAGTGGTTTAGAATATTATGTTTGGATATGAATTCATTATTTATTTATATACAGTATTATTTAAAAAATTTAATAATCATATTAATTGATGATCCAATGTCTGTTGGATCATCACTTTTGAAGATTGGGATAATTCCTGCCAACTTTATTAGAGGTTTTGGTGTCTAGTGATTTATTGAATAATGATGCAATAGGTAGTGTAGTACATGAGCATTTTTTTTTTTTAACATTACCAGTGTAGTATTTGCTTTGTCCCCTGTTTTGTTTTTTAATTAATTTATATATACAGTTCAGATTTATTATGCATATTTTCTCTCATATTACCTTTTGCCATTTTCTCCCGTTAGATAACTGTAACTCTCAACTTTCTGGTGAGAATGTGCTCAGAGATAGAAGCCAACATTGTATCTGTTGAGAGGATTAAAGAATACATTGAGGTATGTCTCTTAGTCACATCTTTATTGTTTCTTCTTAAAGATTATGAGTATCTTCTTTGCATGAGTCATAAGTTTCAGTGTAATCTTTATAATTTTTGTGATCACTGATAAATTTTAACAGAAATTTGTCGTTGTCTTTGCTGCCAAGGTTTAATAAGTAGAAATTTTGGAGTTTAGTATTTATTCATAACTTTCTGTGCATATACTGTACAATGTGTTTAGCCACTAATTAATTGTAATCTATGAAGTCACCTATCCTCCTGTGTAGGCATCTTTTATTTGTAAAAAATGTTTTTTATTGTGTAATCTCACTACTCAGTAATTTTTTCAAGGGGAAAGCACTAAGCCCTTAGGAATCACTCTGTACCTGGGGAAATGGAGAAAATCTGGTTTGATCCAAGAAAAGGAAGGGTATATTCAGTTTTTTTAGGATCAAGAGGCCTTCATTGGCATCAAGGCACCCTCCTTCCTGTGAAGGGTTGCTAGTCAGTATGTTACTAGTGTTCATGTATTTGTCTTCAGTTAATAAGCTTTCCCATAGAAGGGAACCACTGACTTAAATGATTGACTCCTCCCTATAGACTGACCCACCCTGTAAAGACCAATTTAAGACAACCAGAGAAATGATCCACAAGTGTCTGCAGTTCTTATATTCACTCGTATTTTTGTTGATACTGAATACATAGAAATTTTAATGCAACTGTACTTCAAAATTTAGTCCTAATTTTTTTTGAGTATCTTTGCCATAAACACTTTGATAGGCTGTTAGTAAGTGTATTTAGGTATAGGTACACATAAGAACAGTTATCATACATAGTGTAAATTACCTAGGATAACCCCCCAAAAAAGTCAAAGTAACTTATTTCCAATGGGGTCCTTATTCCTATTGTCATTATTCAAACCATTTTTGGTATTCAGCAAAAGTTTCTTCTAGGAAATTTAAAACACTTAATCCTCCACTAACTTAGTGTATGTGTATAAATATATTTCCCAACAGGAAGATCATGAAGCACCATGGGATGTTAAGCAATGCACTCCACCAAAGTCATGGCCAGAGAATGGCTGCATTGTATTTTCCAACTACCAAACCAGATACCGCCCAGGTCTAGAACTGGTGTTGAAGGGTATCACTTGTACCATTAATCCTGGAGAAAAGGTATAAATACTGTTAAAATGTTTTGGTGTAATTGGATCTATAGCATTATCAAGATTTTCTTTTTTGTTTTTAAATATTTATATATTGATCTTTTCTGAGGATAGTATCCATTTTCTATGGTTAAAAAATCCATGCTACATTTTCTTTAGTCTGTAGTTACATAATGTATGTATTAATTATCCATTTATCTAACCATAAAATCCACAAGGTCTGCATCCTACATGTACCTGGGTTTGTCATTTGCTCACATATGTACTTCCTTTCCTTCTTTCTTTCAACACACCGGCCGTATCCCACTGAGGCGGGGTGGCCCAAAAGGAAAAATGAAAGTTTCTCCTTTTACATTTAGTAATATATACAGGAGAAGGGGTTACTAGCCCCTTGCTCCCGGCATTTTAGTCGCCTCTTACAACACGCATGGCTTACGGAGAAGAATCTTTTCCATTTCCCCATGGAGGAATGTACTTCCTTTGTTAATAATATTAGTACTCTTGGCCAGTTATTCTATTTCATACACAGTTTGTTGAAAGATTGCATATGTATTCTGCATAAGTGTAAATATTTAGATGTTTTTCTATATTGCCTTCATGTCCTTTATAGGTATTTTCATGAACCATCTGCAATGCTAGCTTAAGATTCCATTCATTAGCATTTGTATGACAATACTGTACATATTTCTCTACTGTTTAGATTTATTTATGATTTTTTATTTCCTTACACCCACCTGTAGGTTTAAGATACAATACATTAGCTGTACCGTGTGTAATGAAACATTTCCAACATCAGTAAGCTTGAATCCCTATATAAAACAGTATTATTGACTTGAATCAAAATAATCTACTAATTTAAACACATTGCTTGCAGGTTGGCATTGTGGGGAGGACAGGAGCTGGCAAGTCTTCTTTAACTCTTGCACTCTTTAGACTTATTGAGGCTCATAGTGGTTCAATTGACATAGATGGCATCAGGATTTCCAAAATGGTCTCCATGAATTAAGAAGCTGCCTCACTATTATACCACAGGTACCTAAGGATATAGTTTAAATTGAAGCTAAAAAATATTTTTGTTGTTCATCTTGCATGCTAGTGACTCTTTTGGGGCTTAACCATGTTTTATTACATGTCAATACATTATCCTTGTACAGCATTAATAAAAAAATTTGAATTTGAAAAAAATGCTTATAACTTTTTATGATGAGCATTCATGCCTACAGCAGCTTATGCTTTCCATGTATATGGCTGGTTGATAAGTAAAATTGCCAGCAGGTGCAAAAGAGCATTTTTTTTATTGTCAAATGCATCTAAAATGCCTGATAATGTGTTTGCACTATATAATTAGTGCTCAATACAGCTAGACAAAAATAAAGCGATAAAAAAAAGTAAAATAAATACAAAGTACATAAAATACTTATCTTAAAATATGGCACTAATTGCCCTTCCCTAGAAAAATGACAGGATGGATAATGAGAACCTTCAAAACTAGGGAGGCCAAGCCCATGATGACACTCTTCAGGTCACTTGTTCTATCTAGGCTGGAATATTGCTGCACACTAACATCACCTTTCAAGGCAGGTGAAATTGCTGACCTAGAAAATGCACAGAGAACCTTCACGGCGCGCATAACGGAGATAAAACACCTCAATTACTGGGAGCGCTTGAGGTTCCTGAACCTGTATTCCTGGAACGCAGGCAGGAGAGATACATGATTATATACACCTTGAAAATCCTAGAGGGACTAGTACCGAACTTGCACACGAAAATCACTCACTACGAAAGCAAAAGACTTGGCAGACGATGCAACATCCCCCCAATGAAAAGCAGGGGTGTCACTAGCACGTTAAGAGACCATACAATAAGTGTCAGGGGCCCGAGACTGTTCAACTGCCTCCCAGCATACATAAGGGGATTACCAACAGACCCCTGGCAGTCTTCAAGCTGGCACTGGACAAGCACCTAAAGCCGGTTCCTGATCAGCCGGGCTGTGGCTCGTATGTTGGTTTGCGTGCAGCCAGCAGTAACAGCCTGGTTGATCAGGCTCTGATCCACCAGGAGGCCTGGTCACAGACTGGGCCGTGGGGGCGTTGACCCCCGGAACTCTCTCCAGGTAAACTCCCTTACACAACTGTTGTGCGAAAATGGCGGAAAAGTGGTAAAAGCACCAAACATAATGAACAGTGGCTTAATTAAAAGACAGTGATACTGTGGAGCACCAAAAAGAGGGTGCCAAATATGTGAGGCTCTCCTGTACTTAACTGTGAGAGGTCCAAACAAAAGTCTGTGAAAATAATACTGTACATATACAAATAGTGGATGCTCTAGTGAAAAAGTATAGAGTATGCAGTTAAAATAAGTGCTTAGCTAAATCATTTTGGAAGATTATTATTTGGGCTCTCAAGTTTCTAATAAATAAAGGGTAATGTTGGATTAAATATACTACTATATTGTACTGGATTTTTTTTTTTTTTTTTTTTTTTTTTTTTTTTTTTTTTTTTTAACATGTCAGCCATTTCCCATTGAGGCATGGTGACCCAAAAAGAAAAAAAGAAAGAAAAAGAACTTTCATCATCATTCAACACTGTCACCATCACACATACATAATTGCTGTCTTTGCAGAGCTCCTTAGATACAACAGTTTAGATGTCCCTCCAAACAGCCAATATCCCAAACCCCTTCTTTAAAGTGCAAGCATTGTACTTCCCATTTCCAGGACTCAAGTCTGGCTAACTGGTTTCCCTGAATCCCTTCACAAAATATTACCCTGCTAACACTCCAGCAGCTTGTCAGGTCCTAAAAACCACTCGTCTACATTCACTCCTATCTAACACGCTCACGCATGCTTGCGTGCGTGTAATTGTTAAAGTAATTGCTATAACAAAATGCTTGAGGAAGGTTTTTATATGATTTTACATCTACTGTAACACCTTTAAAATTAATCATTTGGACTAGGAGTACATGGAGGATGGAAAGATAAGGCACTAATCACTTTAAATAAACAGCTATAATGATTATGTAAATTATATTTACAGTTTATAGAAAGTTTTATAAAGGACTTAGTGTTTTACTAAATGTGTTTATTGGATGATATGAGAGGACTTGCAATTCTGATATTGTTTTACCACTGAACCACTTTTATTAGCTCAGCAAAGTCATCATATTACAGTAGATCCAAATAAGTAATCAGTTTCATATACAGTAGCCATAAATTACAGTGGACCCCCACCTAACGAACGCATCGCATAATGTTAAATCTGCCTTACGAAGCATTTGAACGCAAAAGTTTTGCACCGCCTAACGATAAAAAACTCTCATAACGTGATTCGTCCGGGACGCGTCCCACGTGTGGGGCCTCAGTCAGTGTTTACAAGCCAGCCAGTGCGGTCGCATCTACACATACATTTGGTACATTTCACGTTATCCCAGTGTTTTTAGTGCTTGTAACTGCAAAATAAGTCACCATGGACATCAAGAATGCTTCTAGTGCTATCCCTGTGGTAAAAAGGGCCAGAATTAGTATGGAATTGAAAAAAAAGAGATGAAGGAAATGTGTGCAAAGCGGGTTGAAATGCAAACCTTTATAGATGAAAATCACCCTAACAGTTATTGCAAGCCGTGCTGGTGACTATTATATTGACAATGTTGTGGCCCATTTTTGGAAAATCTTAAAGGAACGCGAGGTACAGAGCTCTATGGACAGATTTGTTGTGCAACAGAGGTCCAGTGACTCTCAAGCTGGTCCTAGTGGCATTAAAAGAAGAAGGGAAGTAACCCCAGAAAAGGACTTGAGGTAGCAAGTCCTAATGGAAGGGGTTTCCCCTTCTAAACAATAACAACTTCCACAATCTCCCCTCCTCCCATCCCATCAATCACCACCAGATCTTCAATAAAGATAAGTGTCATGTATTCTTAACTTAGTAGAGTAGGAATTGTGCATGTCTTCTTCAGTTTGTGTATTGAAATTAATATTTCATGTGGTAAAAATTTTTTTTTTCATACTTTGGGGTGTCAGGAACGGATTAATTTCATTTCCATTATTTCTTATGGGGAAAATTAATTCGGCTAATGATTATATCGGCTAACGATGAGCTCTCAGGAACGGATTAATATCGTTAGGGAGGGTCCACTGTATTTGAAAACCATTTTTCTGGGAGGTGAGTGTGTTCAGATATTTGGGAGTGGACATGTCAGCAGATGGGTCTATGAAGGATGAGGTGAATCATAGAATTGACAAGAGGAAAAAGGTGAGTGGTGCACTGAGGAGTCTGTGGAGACAAAGAACTTTATCTGTGAAAGCAAAGAGAGGAATGTATGAGAGTATAGTTATACTAATGCTCTTGTATGGGTGTGAGGCATGGGTTGTGAATGTTGCAACAAGAAGGCTGGAGGCAGTGGAGATGTCATGTCTGAGGGTGATGTGTGGTGTGAATATAATGCAGAGAATCTGTAGTTTGGAAGTTAGGAGGTGTGGGATTACCGAAACTATTATCCAGAGGTCTGAGAGGGATTATTGAGATGGTTTGGACATGTAGAGAGCATGGAACCAAATAGAATGACTTCGAGAGTGTATAAATCTGTAGTGGAGGGAAGGCGGGGTAGGGGGCGGCCTAGGAAAGGTTGGAGGGAGGGGGTAAAGGAGGTTTTGTGTGTGTGAGGGGCTTGGACTTCCAGCAAGTGTGCGTGAGCATGTTAGGAACGGATGGTTTTTAGGACTTGACAAGCTGTTGGAGTGTAAGCAAGGTAACATTTATGAAGGGATTGAGGGAAAGTGGCAAGCCGAACTTGATTCCTGGAGATGAGAAGTACAGTACCGGCACTCTGAAGGAGGGGTGTTAATGTTGCAGTTTTATAACTGTAGTGTAAGCATGCCTCTGGCAAGACAGTGATGGAGTGAATAATGATGAAAGTTTTTCTTTTTCGGGCCACCCTGCCTTGGTGGGAAACGAGCGAAGTGTTAAAAAAAAATTCTGGGAATAAATTTGCTCTACAGTGCAGTACCAGTATTTTCATGTTCTAGTAATTTAAAATGTAAACATTTATTGCAGGACCCTGTTTTGTTTAGTGGAACTTTGCGCATCAATTTGGATCCATTTGGCATGTATGATGATGCAACTGTTTGGCACGCACTTGAATTGGCTCATCTTAGTTCTTTTGTTGCTGCCCAACCTCTTGGTCTGCAAAGTGTTGTGGATGAAGGGGGATCCAACCTCAGGTAAAAGTAATACATTTATAATTTCATGATTTTAAAAGCTGAAGTTCCTCTTGGGCTAGTGTAACCCAAGACAACAGCAAAGACTATAATCAACACAACTAACTAAAAGAATATACCTATAGGTTGCCATATCTATAAAAAAAAGTATGCTTTAACCCTTAAACTGTTAAAACATGGATCTGCAGCCATGTGGCTTACTGTTTATAGTATGACACACCTTCTGAATGTGGCATGATGTATTTTGCAGTTGAAAAGTCTTGGGTCTGAAATGTCAAAGTAACAACATCTAGTAAAAAAAAGTTCTGCTATCCCTACCAAGCCAATTGCCTTAGTTCATGCTTGGTCACCATCATGGGCATTAAGAGACAGTTTTAGATTTTTTTTTTTTTTTTAACAAGTCGGCTGTCTCCCACCGAGGCAGGGTGACCCAAAAAAGAAAGAAAATCCCCAAAAAGAAAATACTTTCATCATCATTCAACACTTTCACCACACTCACACATTATCACTGTTTTTGCAGAGGTGCTCAGAATACAACAGTTTAGAAGCATACACATATAAAGATACACAACATATCCCTCCAAATAAATAAATAAATTCTATTTTAGAATGAAGACTGAAGATTTCTCTAGCAATGAGCACTGAAAGATTTACTAGGTGTGTAGTATTTTTTGACAATGTAAGCAATATAAATTAAGGCTCTGTACAAGAAGTGGTAACACATATGACCACATAAACACTCCACTCACCTTACATGGCTATCACAAAGTGCAGTTATGTCACCCACATGGATGTACCCTTGCTCCACCCATTTAATATGTTTCTAATGTACAGTAGACTGTTGAGCAACACGATAGTTATGTATACCAAACTGATAAACATATGGGAAGAATAGTTATTTTTATTTAACCCCAAAAGGGCAACCAAATTTCTTATAGGTCTCAAAATT